CTATATTAAATTAAGACCTGGTGAAATTGGCACCGAAACAAAAGCAAACGTAGTGGTCCCCCAAATATGTTATTACGAACGTCGAAAACATTAAAAACCAATAAGCAATTCACTATAGTCGGACGGAGTCACACATATGATAACCTTCATTGCCACTAGACATAAAATGTCAGCGAAGCTAAATTCCGATACAACTAGCCTATGTTTGTGCCTTCAACAATATTAGAATAGAACCCATTAAATATTTGAGTATATCTCTCATATCCTCCCACTTATACCCATATAACTGATTTCAATTTAAAGGTAACAGACTCTCCCTCATATGTTTCTGTGCCACATCGTTCCGGAGTAAAACTATACGCCATAGAATATTTTTTTTTTCATAATTTTGCACACAAAATTCTAGCTCAATTTCACCATCTAAGTGACCCGATCCCCTTCACCATGTAAAATGTTATTTGTCGGACTATTAATGTGGTCCATAGATAAACTGGGAAATATATCGAAATATATAATGTATTTGGTCCATTTTATCCTCTAAACATTAACTAATAAACTATAGGTGATTATCTGCTTCTTTGGCGAAACTGGTCGCTTGAGCAACCGTAGGACGATCAATTCGGAGTGGTACGCCACAATTTATTTTCATGAAGTCCTTGAAGAGAATTTCAAAAAAAAAGACGGCAAGAGAAGCATGATGATAATGTAAGCTATCACAATAGGGGCTCGAACTTTTTGACCGGGCAAAACGTTAGAGGTGTCATCCGTGTACCACCTTGACTATTATATATACCTGTTTAAAGACTTGCGTCGTCCGCAAGATGCTCTATAGGCCACAATAAAGTCGATCGATAGACCACAATAATAAGAACAAATCACATGTGAATGGGAATCTGGCCAACTAATTAGAGAATGGCTGTTGTTCACCCCGAGTAAAAATATTCCGAAAATATGCCAGGGTAAGAAAGAATTGCTGTTGATTTCAAATCGGTCAGGAGGATGCAAATATCGCGAAATATTGCCCAGTAATATCCGCAGAAAGTTCCGTGGTTGTTGTGTAGGGTATCATATGGTCGGCCCTGTCCGTACCGCTCACTGGTAAAAATATTCCGGTATCATATGGTCGGCCCGGTCCGTACCGCTCACTGGTAAAAATATTCTGGGTAAAATTATTCCGACAATATGCCCGGGTAGTAAAGAATTGAACTGTTGATCGCAAATCTGTGAGGAGGATGCGGAATATACATCCGCAGAAAGTTCCGTGGTTGTTGTGTAGGGTATCATATGGTCGGCCCTGTCCGTACCGCTCACTGGTTTAGAACTTTTTGTTTAAGAAATGGCAGAGCGCAGGTTAAGAAAAAAATAATTGTTCGAAGGAAGTATCAGGTAATAGTTTTTTTAATAGCTGTTTCCTGGAAAAATATCCATGCGTAGATTTTTTAAAAATATTTTTTCAGCCAAAAGTTTAGATTGTAAATTTTGTAGAATTCTTCTGGAAAAATATTCCATCACATATGGTTCAGACAAATCGGACATTCCATTAGCCTGATATTGGATTTATAAATATTGAACATTTTGACAATTTGTGTGGGAGGTACCAGAAGGAGTCGGCCAGTGGGTCCCATCTTCAAACTTGATCTAGGCTTGGTAATGATAATAGGTTGTGGTTCAAATCAGACATTCCATTCGCCTGATATTGCATTTATAAATATTGGAAATTTGGACTCCTTCAGGGGGGGAGGTCTTTTGGTACTTCACTCTACTACTCCTTCAGGGACCAATGGGTCCCTTCTTCAAACTTGATCTAGGCTTGGCAAAGATAACAGATTGTGCAAAGTTTGGTTCAAATCGGGCATTCCATTCGCCTGCTGTTAGATTTATAATTACAGAAGGAGTAGAGCATTTGTGGGCGAGGAACCAAAAAGAGTCGACCAATGGTTCCCATCTTCCGACTTGATCTGGGCTTGGTAAAGATAATAGATTGAAGATTGAAATTATAAACTTATTTTTTTGCACAATTTGGTAGAAATATTAAGATGTGCAAAATTTGTATGAAATCAGATACTTAAATTGTCTGAAACTAATTTGGACCAAAGAAACACGGGGTCTAAAACCAATAATTCGATGAGGCACATTTTCACCGCATTAAAGTGTATATACCCTGAGGCTGAAGATATGAAGAAATTCCGGAGCTAAAGAAGTGTTAGAATGACAGCAGAAGATCTTCCATATATAGACGACAAAGGTGTACAGAGGGTGTAAAAAAATATTCGAACTATGGAGGAACTAAAAATTATTTATTTATTACAAAATTTTTTTTTAGATTTTTATACCCTACAAAACTATGTTGTCAGGGTATTATAGCTTTGTGCAGCCCCAAGAGTTTGTAACGCAGCGAACTATTGATCCTAGACCCACCTTTAAGTGTACCGATCGTCATATCTCGACTAGCTGAGTCGATCTAAACATGTGTGTCCGTCCGTCCATCTGTCCATTATAATTTGTAAACACGTTACAGACCTCAGTTATGGACCAATCTTCACGAAATTTTGCATGTAGAACCGGTTCTGGCCAATGAAGACCCCTATTGTTTTTGGTAAAGATCGGTTAATATTTAGGGAATGAAATGGACGAAATACTTTATTTTTGTCTGATTTTCTGGTCGCTCCAAACACCGCAATTATGGCCCAAACATCGCGAAATTTAACATGTAGAAGGGGATCGGGCAAAAAAATAAGCATAAGATCGGTCAATATTTAGTGGGTCAAATGGACTCCGAATTTTGTGTGAAAAATGACAAAATTTGTTTTCTATGGCGTATAGATTTACCCCTGAAGTAAATAGACCTGAGTAGTTTATAGTATATCCAAGAGGAGTGGTTGGCCTTTAAATCTAAAATGTGGGAGTTACACTTAAATATTGACAGGTGCTTACGTATTCATATATTATTTAGTAACCCATTACCACAATGAAGGGCGGAAATATAGCGCCGGTGGCTTTAAAAATTTCCAAGAGGCTCCAGTTATGGTCAAGGACAACGTCTATAATTTTCGGCTATGATCCGATAATAATATTGGGATGAAGAGGACCGAAAACTTTTTGTGTTTTTTCTAGTCGATTTATAGGCCTCAATTGAAAGCCGAACATCACAACACAACCCATGGTGAAGGAAATCTGGACAAGTAATTAAAAAGGCTGTACTGAATAATATTCGAAAAATATGTCACTGTAAGGAAGAGGTGCTGTTGACCTCTAATCGGTCAAATACATATATATGCAAATATAACTAAATATTGTCCAAGCTCTAAATAAATATCCACAAAAATTTAAAGTTCCGTGGTAGTTGTGTAGGGTATCATATGGTCGGTCCCGCCCGACTATACTGCTCCACTCACTGGTTGTAAAATTAAGTTTATGAAGAAATTTTGAATCGTCGATATTGCAAAAAAACCTACAGCTCTTCTCTCTATAGAATAAATAAAGAAGAAGAACTCTAGCTATAGAGGACCAACATAAAATCGTCCATCTATCGAGGATCCACAGAAGCTCTTCTATCTTTTAAGGACCCATTTAAGGTATTTTAGCTACAAAATACCTACAAAACATTAGACCCTTAATGGATATGACACTATTAATTTTTTTCGTGTGAAACTTTATAAAACCTCAATAAAAATACGGCAATTCATGAACTTTTCCACGCCATAATCTTTTCGAAAAATAAAAAAAACAAAAAACAAAAAAAAAATCGGTCGCATTATCCTCCCATTTTGGCAATGCAAAATTGTTAGCGCATAATTTATTTGTTTATCATACAAATTAAGCTGTCAAATAAATTCATCATCATGTTGAAATGCATGCAGCAATATAGCAAAGCATAATTATTAACCTTTTTTCGGAAGATGGACAGACAGACGGAAAGACAAAAAACATGCACGCGCTTTTTTAAAACAAAGGCAAAAAATTACCGAAAACACCTGCAAAATGTCTTTTCTTTCCTTTGCCACTATTTCACCTTCTTCTTCGATTGTCATGTCTTTTCTTCTCCAACTCATCTTCTTCGAATCGTCTTATCATTGCTGCATCTCCTTTTTTTATAACATTTGACTATAAAAATATTGAAAATTACAGATTAAAGTATCAGTTTCAAGAGACAGCTTCAGACACACAGTCACCACCGATTCGAGGCAGGCCATCACCACAAAAAACTTCAATAAAATGCGTCTATTTTTGGTAACTAAAATACACTGAAAGGATTTCGTAGATTCAAAACTTAATAATAATTCAATCCTCTATTCTGAATATTTCAGACTTTGTGCTCTCTTGTAGCCCTAACTGTGGCTAAGCCTCAATATAATTATGGCTCCGGAGTTTCTGGTAGCTTTGGAGGCTCAGGCATTGGTGGTGCTGCCTTTGGTAGAAGTTCCTCATTTGGTGCTGGACCTTCCTATGGTTCTGGCATAATTGGAGGAGGCTCCTCCTTAGGGGGTTCTTCCTTTGGCTCCTCTTTCGGAGGATCTTCCTTTGGTGGCTCCTCTTTAGGAGGTTCTTCCTTTGGTGGCTCATCAAACTATCAATCTGCTTCCCACAGTGCTGGACACTTTGAAGCTCCCTTGGTCCACAAGCAATTTATTACCGTTGCTGCTCCTGAGGATAATGACAGCTTATCGAAATCGAAACATTTGGTAATTGGCCGTCCACAGAAAAATTATCGTGTGGTGTTCATTAAGGCTCCCTCATCGAATAATGCCAATGTTAAGCTCTCTGCGGAATATGCACCACAAGAAGAGAAGACCGTCATTTATGTTCTATCCAAAAAGGATAGTGCTTTGGAAGTTAATCCTCTTATAGTGATGCCTTGCTCCCCAAAAAATATTCTTTAAAAAATCCACGCCTCTTATAGTCCTCTAAAAAATATTCTTTAAAAAATCCACGCCTCTTATAGTCCTCTAAAAAATATTCTTTAAAAAATCCACGCCTCTTATAGTCCTCTAAAAAATATTCTTTAAAAAATCCACGCCTCTTATAGTCCTCTAAAAAATATTCTTTAAAAAATCCACGCCTCTTATAGTCCTCTAAAAAATATTCTTTAAAAAATCCACGCCTCTTATAGTCCTCTAAAAAATATTCTTTAAAAAATCCACGCCTCTTATAGTCCTCTAAAAAATATACTTTAAAAAAATCCACGCCTCTTATAGTCCTCTAAAAAATATTCTTTAAAAAATCCACGCCTCTTATAGTCCTCTAAAAAATATTCTTTAAAAAATCCACGCCTCTTATAGTCCTCTAAAAAATATTCTTTAAAAAATCCACGCCTCTTATAGTCCTCTAAAAAATATTCTTTAAAAAATCCACGCCTCTTATAGTCCTCTAAAAAATATTCTTTAAAAAATCCACGCCTCTTCTATGCCAGGAAAAAATATTCTTTAAAAAATCCACGCCTCTTATAGTCCTCTAAAAAATATTCTTTAAAAAATCCACGCCTCTTATAGTCCTCTAAAAAATATTCTTTAAAAAATCCACGCCTCTTATAGTCCTCTAAAAAATATTCTTTAAAAAATCCACGCCTCTTATAGTCCTCTAAAAAATATTCTTTAAAAAATCCACGCCTCTTATAGTCCTATAAAAAAATATTCTTTAAAAAATCCACGCCTCTTATAGTCCTCTAAAAAATATTCTTTAAAAAATCCACGCCTCTTATAGTCCTCTAAAAAATATTCTTTAAAAAATCCACGCCTCTTATAGTCCTCTAAAAAATATTCTTTAAAAAATCCACGCCTCTTATAGTCCTCTAAAAAATATTCTTTAAAAAATCCACGCCTCTTATAGTCCTCTAAAAAATATTCTTTAAAAAATCCACGCCTCTTATAGTCCTCTAAAAAATATTCTTTAAAAAATCCACGCCTCTTATAGTCCTCTAAAAAATATTCTTTAAAAAATCCACGCCTCTTATAGTCCTCTAAAAAATATTCTTTAAAAAATCCACGCCTCTTATAGTCCTCTAAAAAATCCACGCCTCTTATAGTCCTCTAAAAAATATTCTTTAAAAAATCCACGCCTCTTATAGTCCTCTAAAAAATATTCTTTAAAAATCCACGCCCATTTGGCAGAGGTAGATACACCTCTAAAAAATATTCTTTAAAAATCCACGCCTCTAATAACCCCTAAAAAATATTCTTTAAAAAATCCACGCCTCATTGGATCCCTCTAAAAAAATATTCTTTAAAAAATCCACGCCTCTTATAGTCCTCATGTGAATGACATGTGAAATGACAGCGAGAAAGTCGAACATACCTCGGAATCCATTCATAGACCCCAGTCCTCCTGAAATGGGTGTCTCCGCCTGTGCCTCATTTTCCTGTTGAGCATTTTGTGCCTCCAAGTCTTTAGCCGCCACATTTGGATCAATATTCAATTTTAATTGATTGGTGGTCAGAGGTGCCGTTTCACTGCCCTCAATCTGTTGCTTGGCATCATCCATTTTCAGGTTACGATCATCAACTTCATCAATCGATGCAATACTGGGACGATATTTTTGTGGAGTTATGGACATTTTTTTCTTTTCTTATTATTATAAATTTTCAAGGCGTTATTGTTATAATTTGTTGAACATTATAGTGTTGGAATTCTGAAATAGGAAAATAAAAAATGTGTTCAATAAGTATTTGGAATGTTTGTACAAATTATCGAAATAATTGTTTTTTCATAGTAAACCTAGTAAAAGGGAAAAATGACAAAATCGCTCTCAGAGTTCAAAATCAAAATCATGGAGTAGAAGAAGTTCAAATAAAAATATTCTTTTAAAAATCGACGCCTCTTATAGTCCTTGAAAAAATAATCATTAAAAATTGATGCCTTATAGTTTAAAAAAAATATTCTTAAAAAAATTACTCCTGTTATAGTTATTGAATAAATATTCTTCAAAAAATCCACGCCTCTTATAGCCCCGAAAATTTTTCTTTAGAAATCCATGCCTCTTATAGTACATTAAAAGTGTTCTTTAAAAAACCCAGACATTCTACAATCATTGAAAAATATTCTTCAATCAAACGAACTAGGTCATTCATTTAGTTGATTTTATCTCAAGCCGGTCAATGAAAGGAAAGATTTATATGAATAATTACATCAAAAATGAACTAATTGCACGAGACAAAAAATGAACGGATGCAGCATATGAAACTAGATGAACGAATAACCAGCCCTAATACCGAACGTTCCCTTTGCAGAATAGTTCCTTTCAACTAGTTCATTCCGAAACAAACACAGTTTTAGTTTAAGTTGTCGCCCCCTATTTTAGCATTGAAATAAACCGAAGAATTATTGTCTCCTCTCTGAATTTCATTAAGTGTGGATGTTAAGTGTGTGCAGAATTCATTTATCTTCAGCATCTTCTGTGAGAACATAGCTCTGTACTATGGTGTCTTACATTGCTCATGTATGGACCCATTACCACACGGTCAGATATTGGTTTCCATGTTTGCAACAACCTCTTAGCGTTCTTCGTAGACTTGTGTCTTTCGTGAACGACCTAGTTCAATTAAATGAGTTAGCCCACGGAACGAGTGAACGACATAGTTCAGTTTTTATTATTGAACGACTTTGTTTACCAAACTCAGTCGACCTCTGAATGACGTTGCTCAATGAACGACTTTGTTCAATGAACGCCGTCGGTCACTGGACGACATTGTGTTTTCTTTTACACCTTTAGTTTTGTTCACAGGTGCACTTTGTTTGATCAACTGAACAGCGTCAAATAAGAACAATTTCATATAAAATCTGTTGAATGGAATGAAGTTACGTGTAATATATTAAAAAAGTGGAGGAAATAGATAGGAAAGTCCTTCGAATGATTGCGAATGGTAATCATTCTTTAATCATTCTTTCTTTTCCAAGTTATAGTACATAGTACTCGTTTTCTGAACGAAGTTCATCGCTTTTATTCCATCCCATTTCGATTATATTTAAGCCTGTGAAATCCTGGCCTCGTATTTCATATGCCAAAGATCATTGTCATAAGATTCTCTGGTAAAATGATTGGTTAGGTGTAGCAAGTTATGGGTCTGCCATCTATTGTTGCCAAGAAACAGTGTGTATTGAAATTTATGCAGTGGTTGGCGTCCTTGCTTATTCAATGCTGTCATTTTTCTCTGGGTGCCGCTATCTACTGCTATTCGTATGTTGTGGTATTGCCATGTGTTGATGACGAGGTTTCATGTGGAGGGAAATGTAAGCTTCTTTTTAAAATTATTCACTTTGAAAGAAAATATCCTTATTGCAATACGCCAATCATAAGAACTGATCTATCTTCTACTAACGCATATCTAATCTTTTTGATTGCATCCACTCCGAATTAAGCTAGGATGTTATTTGTGCTTAGAACAATGTTAGCCAACTACCACATATGTATTGGCTTTGATTGTGTTTGTTTCACAGACAAGGTCCGTGGTGATCATTTTTTCGTGCTTATTTGAGAAACAAGCGACAACTCAACCTCCTTCATCAATGGATCATACGTGGCTAATTTACAAACAAGCAACCACTTGGTGGTGGAATTTAAGCGGTGAACTGTCATTTATTCAACAAAACTGTGATTCTATTCATGTATTACTCACAACCCTAGTAGAACCAACAGCTGATTAGACTTACGCCACCCTAAAAGTATGCTTCACACATTTATTATTTGTTTGTGTTAAAGGTGGTGGTTGTCTCAACCTTGGAATATCGATTTTTAATTGGTAAATGTAGGGTAATAGTAGCTTCGGATCCTATCACAGATACTCATGAGTTACCTTTATTTTCGAAAAATGTGCTTGAAACTTTCTACGAGAGCTCCACTTTTTTGTTTTCTTTTGGTGTCCTAGTGACAAGATTATGAATTCAGGCACTCCCACTGTAACGAATCCTTTACCTCATTACACGCTGCGAATATTGTAGCCATAGATAATCAGTCTGTTGCAAATCATCAATTTCTCTAATATCTCAAATTTTTCAACTCATTTATCAACATGTGTTGAATTTTTGATTGAATCCATTACGATTTTATGTTAATATCTAACAGACACTGGGTGATTATAACGATAAGTCTTTCACATCTTCACACAGCGAGAGAGAGAGAGAGATGGGGGTTTGCTTGCAACTACTAGTGTCTAGTAGTCAATTAAAAATCAATTAACTATTTCTTGGCTACTTTATTCGAACATGATTTGATTATGTTTGCATGTATGATGATAAACAACAAACATGGTAGTCAAATTGGCTTATAAAATGATAACGAAAAAGAAAATACAAACATAATTAACCTTGACCTTCATTAACCAGCGTTGAGCATGTACCCCAGAGAAAAAGGTTGGGAAATGAGAATACTAGCTAATCATACATTAAACGATTTGGATATATAACTAGAAATATTGGATTTTGTATGCAGTGTTCGCAATGGTGAAGCCCGTTTTTTTTTTCTTATAACCAACGATTGTCAACATTTTTCTAAACGAAAAACTACCAAAATCCGACAAAACAAATACATAACTTGCGGCTGAAATAGATATATACCCAGGCCCTTCAGCTCGTCTATATAGACTCACTTGGCCCTTCAGCTCGTCTATATAGACTCACTTGGCCCTTCAGCTCGTCTATATAGACTCACTTGGCCCTTCAGCTCGTCTATATAGACTCACTGGCCCTTCAGCTCGTCTATATAGACTCACTGGCCCTTCAGCTCGGCCTCTTCAGCTCGTCTATATAGACTCACTGGCCCTTCAGCTCGTCTATATAGACTCACTGGCCCTTCAGCTCGTCTATATAGACTCACTGGCCCTTCAGCTCGTCTATATAGACTCACTGGCCCTTCAGCTCGTCTATATAGACTCACTGGCCCTTCAGCTCG